TTGTCAGAGTTATGGCCCTTTAATAATTTTTATTTTTAGCTCACCTGTCACGATGTGACAGGGTGAGCTTTTGTGATCGTTTTTCGTTCGTTCGTCCGTCCGTCCGTCGGTAAACTTTTACTTTAAATGACATCTCCTCATAAACTTGAGCCAATTTCATCCAAACTTCACAGGAATGTTCCTTTGGTGGTCACCTTTAAAAATTGTTCAACGAATTTAATTCCATGCAGAACTCTGGTTGCCATGGCAACCGATAGAAAAAACTTAAAAGATCTTCTTTTAAAAACCCAAAGAGGTAGAGCTTAGATATTTGGCATGAAACATCTTCTAGTGAGTGTCTATCAAGTTTGTTCAAATAAAAGCCCTGGGGTCAATATTGGCCCGGCCCCAGGGGGTCATTGATTTTCCCTATATGCATATAGTAAAAACTTATAAAATCTTCTTTTAAATAATCAAAAGAGCTAGAGCTAAGATATTTAGCATGAAACATCTTTTAATCAGTGTCTATCGAGTTTGTTCAAAATAAAAGCTCTTGGGTCAAAATTGGTCCCGCCCCAGGGGGTCATTGATTTTCCCTATATGCATATAGTAAAAACTTATAAAATCTTCTTTTAAAGAACCCAAAGAGCTAGAGCTACGATATTTAACATGAAACATGTTCTAATGGATGTCTATTGAATTTGTTCAAATAAGAGCCCTGGGATCAAAATTGGCCCTGCCCCGGGGGTCATTGATTTTCCTTATATGTGTAAAGCAAAAACTTTTTAAAAAATCTTCTTTTAAAAAATCCAAAGAGGTAGAGCTTAGATATTTGGCATGAAACATTTTCTAGTGAGTGTCTATCAAGTTTGTTCAAATAAAAGCCCCGGGGTCAATATTGGCCCGGCCCCAGGGGGTCATTGATTTTCCCTATATGCATATAGTAAAAACTTATAAAATCTTCTTTTAAATAATCAAAAGAGCTAGAGCTAAGATATTTAGCATGAAACATGTTCTTATGGATGTCTATTGAATTGTTCAAATAAGAGCGCTGGGGTCAATTGGCCCTGCCCCGGGGGTCATTGATTTTCCTTATATGTGTAAAGCAAAAACTTTTTAAAAAATCTTCATTTAAAAAACCCAAAGAGGTAGAACTTAGATATTTGGCATGAAACATCTTCTAGTGAGTGTCTATCAAGCTTGTTCAAATAAAAGCACTGGGGTCAAAATTGGCCCCGCCCCAGAGGGTCATTGATTTTATTTATGTGTAAAGCATAAACTTAAAAAATCTTCTTTGAAAAAACCCAAATAGCTAGAGTTAAGATATTAAGCATGAAACATCTTCCAGTTTCAAAGTTTGTTCAAATAAAAGCACTGGGGTCAAAATTGGCCCTGCCCCGGGGGACATTGATTTTCCTTATATGTGTATAGCAAAAACTTAAAAATCTTCTTTGAAAAAACCCAAATAGCTAGAGTTTAGATGTTAAGCATGAAATATCTTCTAGTGAGTGTCTTTAAATTTTGTTCAAATAAAAGCCCTGGGGTCAAAACTGGCCCCGCCCTAGGGGTGTCATTGCTTTTAACTATATGAGTATAGTTAAAACTTAAAAAATCTCTTTTTTTTAAACTCAATGAGGTAGACCTTAGATGTTTAGCATAAAACATCTTCTAATGGGTGTCTACCAAGTTTGTTCAAATAAAAGCCCTGGGGTTTAAACTGGCCCCGCTCTGGGGGCCTATATACAGGTGAGCGACTTCAGGGCCATCATGGCCCTCTTGTTAAAGTTTGTCTGGACTACTTCTCTTATACTACTAATGCAATTTCAATGAAACTTTACAGGAATGATCTGTAGCTCAAGTCCTTGCGCATATTGCACAGGTTTTCCGGTTGAATGATTTTTGGTCGAGTTATGGCCCTTTGATAAAAAGGTGTTTTTTTTCTGTGTGTTGCCAGATACACAAAAGCTTGTCCGGACTACTCCTCATAAACTACTGGTGCAATTTTATCCCAACTTTACAGGAATGATCAGTCCCAAGTCTAGTTGTGCACTGTCCGTCTGTCACAAAACTTGTCCCAACATGAAATTGGCCATCATGAGGCGACACATATGATCACTGATCGCTCTTGTTGGTTTTGTTGGCACCCAATCAATATGTATGGGTGCAGGGTTAATTACATTCAATAAAAGAGGATGCAGCAGTATCTTGTAGTTTTGGAACATTGCTCCTTTAATACAGTTCTTTTTGGTAGAACTCCAAGCTGAAAGGCAAAAAAGAAACTTTCTTACAAATGAAGTTATATGAGATATCTCTTTTAGACCAAATTAATTCACTCAATTTAGTGACGGTCAGTGCATTACAAAGTCCATAAAAAGAATAATGACCCATGACAATAAATAAGAAAATAAATGTGAGAATTTAATTTTATCAAGCCAATAGAAGTCTCAAACTTATTGCATGTTTTATTTCTAAACAAATACATAAGTTCTGTTACCTTTTGATTGGACACTTTCCTTCTTTCAAGAAATCACAACCGCAAGCAAATTGTCGGTTTTGATAATATTTTGGTCAGATGTTAAGGCAAATCATGTGAAACCATTTATTATACACGGAACATTCAACCCAGTATGGGTTTTTGACATGTGCATTGAACCCATACGTCAATGCACATGCCGATAACCCCACAATTGCACATTCTTCTTTAGCTGTGAATAATGGCCCGGGCTTACACACAGCTGGCACCACATGACTGATACTGGAATATCTGAAAGAGAAGATTTAAAGTAAGGCTTCATGTAGTTAAATAACTTCAGAATATAACATGATAATATAGTGTATTATGATGTGTTTACTAAAACAAATTCCAACCTGAAAATCTCAATTTCACAAGATATGTGTTATTATCACATAAACTAACATTCATACATACAAAAAGATTTTAAATATTACTTTACATCCAGCAATACATTTTATGAAACATTGAAAACATGATATTACTGTCTTGCTTGATGGTTTGCTTGGCACCCAAACAATATGAATGGGTGCAGGGTTCATTACATCTAGTAAAGAAGGATGCAGCAGTATCTTGTAGTTTTGGAACATTGCTCCTGTAATACAGTTCCCCTGTATGGGCCAACCTAATAAGTGGCACAGCAGCTGGAGATGAAGAAGCTCTGAAACAATGAAATAAAGGGACTTTTTATTAGCTCACCTGTCAGAAAGTGACAAGGTGAGCTTTTGTGATCGCTTTTTGTCCGGCGTCCGTAAACTTTTACTTTAAATGACATCTCCTCATAAACCACTTAGCCAATTTCATCCAAACTTCACCGGAATGTTCCTTTGGTGGTCACCTTTGAAAATTGTTCAAAGAATTTAATTCCATGCAGAACTCTGGTTGCCATGGCAACCAAAAGAAAAAACTTTAAATATCTTCTTCTAAAAAACCCAAAGAGCTAGAGCTTAGATTTTTGGCATGAAATAAGGGCCCTTGGGTTCAAATTGGCCCTGACCTGGGGGTCATTGATTTTTCCATATATGTGTATATGTGTAAAAAATCTCCTTATTAAAAACTCAAAGAGCTAGAGTTTAGATTCTAAGCATGAAGTATCTTCTAGTGAGTGGCTACCAAGTTCGTTCAAATAAAGGCCCTGGGGGTCAAAATTGGCCCCATACAGGGGGAGGGGAGGTCATTGTTTTTTCCTATATGTATATAGTAAAAACTTAAAAAATCTTCTTATAAAAACCTTAAAGAGTGAGAGCTTAGATATTTATCATGAAACATCTAATGGCTGTCTACCAGATTTGTTAAAATAAAAGCCCCTGGTTTAAAATTGGCATTGGCCCACGGGCCTATACACAGGTGAGCGATTTCAGGGCCATCATGGCCGTCTTGTTAACATGTTCTAAATAAAAAAAATAATTATAAAAATTCTTTGCAATTCTTTAATAGTTATGAACACAATAACATCATATCAAGTCTTTTTTAGCTCACCTGTCACAAAGTGACAGGGTGAGCTTTTGTGATCGCTTTTCGTCCGGCGTCCGTCCGTAAACTTTTACTTTAAATGAAATCTCCTCATAAACCACTAAGCCAATTTCATCCAAACTTCACAGGAATGTTCCTTTGGTGGTCACCTTTAAAAATTGTTCAAAGAATTTAATTCCATGCAGAACTCTGGTTGCCTTGGCAACCGAAAGAAAAAACTTTAAATATCTTCTTTTAAAAAACCATAAGAGCTAGAGCTTAGATATTTGGCATGAAACATCTTCTAGTGAGTGTCTACCAAGTTTGTTCAAATAAAAGCCCTTGGGTCAAAATTGGCCCGGCCCCAGGGGGTCATTGATTTTCCCTATATGCATATAGTAAAAACTTAAAAAATCTTCTTTTAAAGAACCCAAAGAGCTAGAGCTAAGATATTTAGCATGAAACATGATCTAATGGGTGTCTACCAAGTTTATTCAAATAAAAGCCCTTGGGTCAAAATTGGCCCCGCCCCGGGGGGTCATTGATTTTCCCTATATGCATATAGTAAAAACTTAAAAAATCTTCTTTTAAAGAACTCAAAGAGCTATGGCATCAAACATGTTCTAATGGGTGTCTACCAAGTTTGTTCAAATAAAAGCCCTGGGGTCAAAATTGGCCCCGCCCCAGGGGGTCATTGATTTTCCCTATTATGCATATAGTAAAAACTTAAAAAATCTTCTTTTAAAGAACCAAAAGAGTTAGAGCTAAGATATTTAGCATGAAACATGTTCTAATAAGTGTCTACCAAGTTTGTTCAAATAAAAGCCCTAGGGTCAAAATTGGCCCCGCCCCGGGGGGTCATTGATTTTCCTTATATGCATATAGTAAAAACTTAAAAGATCTTCTTTTAAAGAACTCAAAGAGCTATGGCTAAGATGTTTAGCATCAAACATGTTCTAATAGGTGTCTACCAAGTTTGTTCAAATAAAAGCCCTGGGGTCAAAATTGGCACCACCCCGGGGGTCATTGATTTTCCTCATATGTGTATAGCAAAAACTTAAAAAATCTTCTTTGAAAAAACCCAAATAGCTAGAGTTAAGATATTAAGCATGAAACATCTTTTAGTGAGTGTCTACAAAGTTTGTCCAAATAAAAGCCCTGGGGTCAAAATTGGCACCGCCCCGGGGGTCATTGATTTTCCTTATAAGTGTATAGGAAAAACTTAAAAAATCTTCTTTGAAAAAACCCAAATAGCTAGAGTTAAGATATTAAGCATGAAACATCTTTTAGTGAGTGTCCACAAAGTTTGTTCAAATAAAAGCCCTGGGGTAAAAACTGGCCCGGCCCCAGGGGTGTCATTGTTTTTAACTATATGTGTATAGTAAAAACTTAAAAAAAATCTTCTTTTAAAAAGCCCAATGAGCTAGAGCTTAGATGTTTAGCATGAAACATCTTCTTATGGGTGTCTACCAAGTTTGTGCAAATAAAAGCCCTTGGGTTAAATTGGCCCTGCAACGTTGGGGTGGGGGTTGGGTGGTCTATATACAGGTGAGCGACCTCACCATCATGGCCCTGTTTTTGATGTTACCCATTGTCTCTTTCAACATGTACCTTCTTCTCCTTCTCATCACCATTCTTTCATTGACACCAATGTCATCTAAAATCTCTGATTACATCAATGATAGGTTTTCTCTGTAGTCAGGTTCTTGAAACATTCTGTAACAATTAGTAAAGGGGAAAATTGTTCTATTCAGCAACCAAGTTTATTTCGTCATGTTACTTAACTGTCCTTGATGTCCTAGAACAGAACAGCACCGGATAGCCAGTACAGGATAGCAAATTTTGAAATTTTACATAATTTTAGGTAGATATCAATAAATAAATGAAATTGTAGATTTGTTTTCCTTTTATCTATTTGTTTTGTTATTTTTCTATTTCATTTCATGAACATTTTGATGTCTTAGTGTCTTAATAGATGAGGGGATGTGTGATTAATTAATTTCTAAATACTGAATATTAAAGTTAATCTTGGCAAATTATAACTGAATGTTTTTTTACCATGGTGGATTTTCTTTCTGTCTATTTTGTGTTACAACTTTTCCAGTATCAAATTATTAAAAAAGTTTCTTACTTCCATTTTTGTTTAAAAAAAAATATGAAAAATAAATAAATAACTTACTAATATTTTATCAATAGTAAATTGAACTAGTTCTTTAAAATAGTGAAACATTTTTGATTTCCAGAGTTACATTGATTTTATACTATTTTTTTTTAATCAATACATAGTTATAAATTTGATTAAATTTTGTGTAAAAATTACATTATATTAAATTGTATTAACTTGAAGCAGAAGCTAAGAAAAGGATACTTGGATAAAATATAAACATTTGGCATTAAATTCTTACATAATTAAATTTTCAATGAAATAATTTGTTAAAATAATATTAATTAATAATGTAATAAATGTTGAAATATGTGTACAAAAATAAATCATAAACTTACTTTGAAAAGATGATTTCGTACTATGTCACCAAAAAATCAAGAAATTATATTATTCTGTTTCGCAAGATCGAAAGAAATTTTGCTACTTTTACTTCCTCGTATAGGTTAGAGTGCATATTGGATGTTCTTCGTAAATAAGAAAGCTAAAAAGGAGCGGAGCTTGCGAAGCGACTGTAGCTTTCTTATTTACGAAGAACATCCAATATGCACTCTAACCGGCTTAGTGCTCCGCCCACTTGCGTTTTATAATATAAAACGTCCAGTTTATATAAAATCTGTTCTATTAAGATTTGAAACCTGAAAATTTGAAAAATCCTCGTCGGTGATTGGCTTCAAAAAATTGGCGAGCACTTATGATGATGTGAGGAGGAAAATAACGCATTTTATAATCCTACTGTTTTATAAGAAAATTTTATTGTTTCCTCTGTTGAAAAAAAAACAACAACAAAACATTAACACATGAAACTATAAGGACTATAAGGACTTAAATATAAAGTACTATCTATTAAAGCAATAAAGAAATTATTAAGACAACATATGAATTAAAATTATGTAAAGAATATTGCATGTACAAACATGCTTTCAGAGATAATGTATATAAAAATGTTTTATAGACATGCCTAATTAAGATTTTAAGATTATTGAAAACACAATAAATTTAGAGAGAAATGCGTTATTATTTAAATAACTGACAGAGTATTCATCAAGCTAACTTAGATATGAATATGGTACAATGTATTATTGTTTATAAATTGAAAAATAGAAATACCAAAAAAATGAAGAAAGATAATGACTATTTTTTTGTAATAAAACTCAGTATTTTCATGAGAAAACAAATATACCACTCTTGTGGCTGAGAGGTTGCCTTTAAGGTAGACCATGGGTAATGAGCACCATAAGGAACTGTAAAATTGACAACATAGGACAGTTATATGTCTTCAAGGTCACCTGTATGCAAAATTTAAATAAAATTTACCGTGTGGTTTATGAGTTATGGATATATTTCTGAACTAAGACCTTGCCATTAGAAGGGCTTATTTTCAGAAATGAGGAAACTGTAAATAATCTGTAATATCATCATTATAAAAAAATGTTTTTCTATTGCTTATTGTTAAGAAACAAATAATAACATTCAGGTAAACACATTACACAAGCAAAATGTTTGTTTTCTAAACAAAATGTTCTTAATATGTATAAAAATGTTACCCTACCCCACCCACTTTTAACACTAATTTTACCATTTCCCTATCTAAAATGCCTTATTCAAAATATCCCTAAAATTTATCGAAATGAGGGTCTGTTTTCAAAGTTTGCCTAAATTTTTTCAAAGGTATATTAGTTGATCATGCGAAATATAAAATACTTTTACCGTGTAGTTTTTATTTTATCGAACTTTGAAAATATCTGGTATCACGCCCCTCAATTTCAATGTAGTTTACAAGCGATTCTAGCCTATTTGAATACTCTTCAAAGTGGAGGTAATGCATTACCCATGGTCTACCTTAAGGGTTGAGGCATCAAAATTGCAGCCACCGTTTATCCCTGTGTGATCATAAAGGGGGGCTAAATGGGTTTGAATTATTGCACTCTCTGCATCTATAATAGCTCCAGCTGGTTAGGTGGTTATGACCCCTGGTGTTGCTTCAAATTTGAAACATTTAGGGTAATATCCAAATTCATCTTTCCTTTTTCAGCACAATATGACTTAGCTGGTTGGTGCCCTGTAAAACCAAACCAAACAAAAACTAAACAAAACTATATAGGTATACAAAATAATTATATGGCAATAGATCTTCTAATAAAATATTGTCCTATATGTTATTAGACCCCTACTGGTTAAACTGTAAGGGGACTTTTAGGTTTACCCTGTCTGTACAAACATGTAGATACTTAAAGGGCTATGGGAAGGGTAAATTTCCTTTGATGCTTTTCATTGATTTCAGTAAGCTCTTAGGTGGCTACTTTTTCTCTTACTTGGCTAAAAGAACAATAGAGAGAACAAAAGAGTGGCCACTTATATACCAGACTTTGAGCACGTCCATTGAAACCATCTGTCCGTCCGTCCGCCCATCCATTCATCCACAAAACTGGATCCCTTGATAATGCAAAAAGTACTGAAAATATTGTTGTGAAACTTGAAATATGGGTAGATGGCAGTCTGAAGATTATGCATACATTTTTCTTTTCTCCCTATGTTGAAACATTTGGTTGTTATGATAACAAATAGATTTTAAACATGGCAAATATAATACAAAAACTAGATCCCGGGATAACGCAAAAAGTACTGAATTTTTTTTTATGAAACTTGAAATATGGATAGATGGCAGTCTGGAGATTGTGCACATCTATGTTGAAAAATTTGGTTGCTTTGGCAACAAATGGACTTAAAATATGGCAAATATAACAATACATGTAGGCTTAATTGTGATAACTTAAAAATTACTGAAAATATTTTTAAAAACTTGCAATATGGATAGATATGGAGATTATGCACAACTAGGTTAACAAATCTAACACTAAAATTATTAGATTTACCTCCCCTTATCTTAGAAATAAATGTTGTTTTTGTATAACTTCTTTATTTCTTAATGCATCTATTTCAAATATGTGGCAATAGTTTCATATCACTTATCAGAATTATCATCCTTAATTGAACTCGGGAAATTTCATGAAAATATGTGGTTTTCTATAACTTCTTTATTTCTAAAGATGTCTACTTCAAACTTCAAGTACATTTATATGTTCCTTATTATGACTCAAATCATGTGTGAGAAGATTCAATACCCTAGCTTGACCATTTCCAGCATTGTGCCCCCCTTTTTTCTATAAATTATTATTTTTTCCTCATTTCTAACAGGATTTACTTCAAACTTCAAATTCCCAGATAATTGTAATATGACAAAGTTTTAATACATGTAATTACCGTCCACATTTCCAGAATAAACTTCCCTGTTAACTTTGATTTTCCCTTTATAGCTCAGGGTGAGCTTTTAGGATCGTTGAATGTCAGTCATCCGTCCACATTTGTTCGTTAACACTCTAGCTAGCGGTCACATTTTTGCCTCAATCGCCATTAAACTTTGTCAGGATGCTTGTCTTGGTATAAATAGCTCATCTTGGATAAAAAACAGGAGATAAAAATAGAGAACACTTGTTAACACTCTAGTGGTCACATTTTTGACTCAATTGTCATCAAACTTGGTCAGAATGCTTGGATGAGTTTGATGGGTCAGGTGAGCGATCTAGGGCCATCATGACCCTCTTGTTCATTTGTTAAGAGTCGGTTTCAAATTCTCCCTCAACTTTTCTTTGACATTTTGATGGTTCTGACCATACTTTTCAACATCATATCAAGTCTTTTTTCATTTGTTAAGAGTCGGTTTCAAAATCTCCCTCAACTTTTCTTTGACATTTGATGGTCCTTGACCATACTTTTCATGAATAATATCATAAACAAAAAAACAAAAAAAACCCAAAAAAAACAACAACATATAATTCATATGATATAATTATTAGGTTGAAAGTATTTTTGCAAACATTAATGTATTTGTTTGGAAAAAAAAAGCTGAATAAATTCATAATCACATTGGGTTGCAGCTTAAGAAAGCTTTTGTCTAATTCACATAGATTTAGCATTGCAAATATGTCACATTGTAGAGCTAGCAATGCCCATAGG